CAAGGGTGGCATGTAAATAAGGAAAACAGTCCTGTTTTAGAAGTTTATAATCATGTCAAAAGTAATTTTGAGTACGAAAAATACTTGGATATTTTGCCTTGCAATTTAAGATGTTATTTAACAAAATTAAGGTTATCTTCACATTCTTTGAAAATTCAAACAGGTCGATACAGTACACAAAGAATCGATAGAAATCAACGTTATTGTATATACTGTGATAAGCACGACATTGAGGACGAGTATCATTTCATTTTGATTTGCCCATGTTATATTGATTTAAGGAAAATATATATAAAAAAGTATTATTATGTAAAACCAAGCATGTTTAAATTTATAGAACTATTAAAAAATGATAAAAGAACAATTCATAAAAATTTAGCTATTTATATTAAACGTGCTATGACTTTAAGAGCATCTGTTACACATATTTAAGTCCATCCTCTTAGAATAGAAAACGATTAAATATATGCTTTAATTATCATGCTTATATTATGTATTTGTAATTTTATTAAATGTAAATGTGTAAATGTATTGTATGTGCTATTGCGATTCGATACTTATAAACACTGGTTTATCATGTGACTGTATTATAAAACATGTAAATGTATTAATTTTGTAAATATGTTACGATGATGTACTTATGGTACAAATCTAATAAAATAAATGTTCTGTTCTGTTCTGTTACATAATTTTACAAACATAATCATCAAGTGTATATGCAAAAGTTCGGTAAACATTTATCGTATGCCCTCCCCTGTAATTCAAAAATAAATTTAAATTATCAAGATGTAGATGTGAGATATCAAAATTCAATGATGTTAAAATCACGTTTTAGGAATTTATTTTTTTTTTAGATAGAAAATAGATTTAATAACACAGTTACAAAAAAGTAAATGTTAATATGGGCAATGTATAAATAAATGAACTTAATTTTAAGTTATCAAACTGTTTATAGTGTGACTTTTAATACTTAATAATGTTTTTCAAGTTTCAAGTAATTGATCCATTTTTCTTTGAATTCTTTGTTCTAAATATAACAAATGTTTGAGAAAATCAAACTGCCTACCTTTAAGATAAAAACACTAGAAGTTACCAGTTGAACAAGTTGCAAAGAAGATTATGATTTGCACAAAACTTGCACAATAAAGGAAAATACTAGTAGATTGTTAGAATTGATTTTGAACCAAAACATTATTTAACCTGCTTAAGAATAGCTTAAGAATTCGTATACTTAAAATTCTTGCGTTTTCTTTTCGACAATTATTGAATTATAATATACAAAGAAATAAAATGGAGCTCAGATGTATAGATGCTAGATATCCCCTTTCTACAAGATTCACCAAGGCATGGTTGCTATCCCCATAAAATTTAGGTTTCCTAGGTTTCCAGCTCCCCTGTTTTTAACATTTTTCGTTCATCCTATTTTAAACAACTCTTTTTAACTTTCTTGCGAGTTTTAGTCGCAAAAATTTTGCGTCCCCGCGAAAGGATTGACATTAATTGAAACTAGATACATTAGTAAGTTTAGTTAACTAAGCATCTGACACGGAAGAAACTTTTGCTCTTCATTTACAAAGACACATGCATAGTTTCCCAAATTCAAATCTTATCTCCGTCTAAAATGTTAAAGTATGAATATAAAGATCACTATCACGAAACGCAGCTACTGCAAAAGACCACACGAAAGGCAACTAGAAGAACAACATACATAAATAAAAAACGGTAACAATACGAGTAAAGACAACTGTGATTGATTATATTTTAGCGTTTTTGATAAATTCTACACCTTATTGATCACATGCTTTTAGATAAAATCGGTTCAATATATATTATAAGTTATAGAATTTGATATATTAAGAATGGTTAAACTTCATTGTGTAAATATCACAATTACAGCGATCGTTTAGATAATGATTAAATTACAACAAATCTCGAAATCATTTTGTTTTAACTTTATGTATTCATGGTCTTTTATGTTAAAATACTTCTATGCTTGCCTATATGTTGTGTTTAATATGCTAAGAAGGGTATTTTTAAGAAAAGCTCACAGTCATTTGTCATGAAGATTGTTTGTTTATAAACAAATGCAGTTATTCCTTGTTTTTGGCCAATATTAGTACATTATCGCATGGTTTGGAACTTTTTCTTTGTTCTTATTAACCCTTTGTATTCAGTACACTTTCAAATTGTATTGATATTTAACAGTACAATTTTTGCATTGATTCACATATGAAAAAACTCACTAATATATAACAGTTTTTGTTTGTTTCATCTTGTTTATATCGGTGTAGTTTTTTTATAGATGAGATTAGAATTGGAATCAGACATTGGGATGATTACATTGATCAGTAATTGATTTAATAGCAATTACTTTCAGATTTCATTGTAATTGATTATGATTGATTACTCAGACTTGTCTCTATTATCAATTAAATAACAATTACTTTAAGAGAGTAATTGATTGATCATTGATAACATTTATATTCATTATATAACATGTATAACTGTAAAACACAAGTTTTAAGTACATCATGCTTTAGATTTAAATAGTTTTTTGTTAAATCTGGTTGTAATCAATGTCAGTCGAGTTGTTATCATAATTACTGACTGTATTTAAGATGTAATTTATTAATTACAATAAATATAAACAGTTTTTGGCAAGGTAACACGATGATTACAGCGTTATCATGTTCTTGATTTAAAATTGATAATTTCGATAAACGATTTCCCCATTTCAACTTGAAATGGGAGAGGGTATAACAGATTCACAGAAGCATCAAAATAGTTTCATGAGTTTGTATTGGTTCATTGCGTTATACGGTTTACATTGAGACGAAAAATAAAGGGCACAAGAGAGAGTAAAGCACTGAACATAGTGAAAAATTAATATAAAAAAGTTATAATATATGAAACTCGCTAGTTACGAGGATATAACACTGGCTGGGGCAACATCTCGGGATGTTTCTGTCTTGGACTCGACATTCCTCGATGTCGCCCCGCTCTGTGTTATACCATTGTTAACTTTTCCAAAAGCTATAACAGAAACATGTCATATATTTTTCTATAATTCCCGCCGTTGAGCGGGAATTTGAAAAAATAGTGCAAATGGTGATCCAAGCATGAAACTTTGTGTCTTAGCATATCTTTGAAAATATCAAGTAAAAATCTCAATTTCTTGCATATATCTCTAATTTGGTTTTCTAAATCTAAAGTCACAATTAAAAAATATTTTAGTTCTTATTTGACATTAAATTAGTAATAGGGGAGTGTTGTAAAAATGATAAAAACACATAAAAACTGTAGGTTTTATATTTTGTCAAAGTGGGTGGGGTAAAAATATTCGATAATTATAAAAGAAAAACAACAAAATTTACACTGGTAAGTTAATTCTATTTCTTTGCCTTTTCTGTGAATTCTTGTACAAATGTCCCCTATTAAAAAGTATTCTTTATTGGATGAAGGTATTTTCGTCATCTCTTGGTCAAGTGGGTGAGCTAAAATATCAATAAATGCACATACAATCATGTGCCTTACTTCTGTATTTAAGAATTATGGCATTGGATCTTAGGTGAGTGATCTAAGGTTGTTGAATGGGGAAAATGAAATATGGATAATCTTTGACAGACAGTATATATTTCAAATTATCAGCAACTATATGTGGGTCAAGCGATACTATCATTCAGTCGCCTTAATTTTACTTTGTATCTTCTGAAAATACCATGTCTAGATATGTTTTTCTATGAACAGTGCTAATTCATATACTTGATCACAATGATATGAAATAAATCATACTGTTACAAGCCTTCAGTAAGACTATGATAACTCATTTTTCTCATTGTGTTGGCTTTAAAGCGATTTTTATCTTTCCATAAAGAAATTTTCAGGAATTAATTGTATTCGCAAATAAGACAAAATTAAATTGCAGGTTTTGTTGATGTATATTCAGTCTACTATCCTTACAATTAACTGATGATATAAAGAATATTGAAACAAGTTATATCATGCAGACGAATTTTATAACTGAATGTATAAACACAAATGTTTGTGCATTTACTGGTATTTTAGGACAACCTCTAGACCTGAAGGAAGACAAAAATACCTTAAAATTTTAACGAAAAGCAATGAAATGAAATTAACTTACACATTGTGTTGTTTTTTTGTTTTTCAATTATCAGATTAATTTACCCCACCTACAGATGTTATGGTTTTGCAACAATTGTTCAATAAGCACAGTGTTAGTTAAATATTAAATACACTATAAGAAACTAAGTATTTTTTTGAATTTGAACATAGACCTATTAGAAAACCATTTTAGAGAAATATTGGCACGTTTTCTTAAATATTTTTAAAGATATTTTTTGGATAAAAAACTTAAAAAGCTAGACTAATATTGTGGTTTACATATAATTTTTTATCAAAATATGCATAATTTGTGCTACAAATTATACTACAAAAGAGATATATCCGTTTTGCATAAAAAATGGCGGCCGTATTTGACGCCATCTTGAATTCTGAAGAGATATTTAAGCGGATTGTTTTAAAAGATTTGAACTTTTGTAAAGTAGAAACTTTAAACATGTGTAAGTTTCAAATATGTACAAAAATTCACTGAATAAGCTATTATGTACGTCAAATTTATATGGCGGCCATTCTGAAAATGGCCCCACTATCTGATCTTATTTGACGATAAGTACGAAGGTCCGAAAGCCCATTGAGGCCGTTTTGTGTTAGAAGTTAGAACTTAATTGGCTTCCGTAGATAAGACATATATGTATAATAAACAAACTTTGGTTTATAAATGGTTGCCCATTGAATACATATGTCTCTACATTATCAACAAATATAATTATCTTTTTTTTCACTTACAATATGTAATAATGTTTCAAAAGCAGAATATCAAATTAATAATGGTCGCTAAATTTTTAGTAAGATCTAAACATTACAGTAAATAATTCTGGAACAAGAAGTGAAATATTAACAAACAATCAAATGATAAAAACCTGATCTGAAGCAGAGTCATCGCATGTTGATGTTGCCATGATCAAATGACTTTTGTATTGGCACACTGTTTAATCCCTATGACTCACATTAATTACACGCGTTTTATAATTTAACATAATTAATTAATTTAATTAATCAATATATTCTTTATATTTGATATTATTAAACCCTTTATAATTTCGTATTTGATTTGATAATGCTTGCCAATTTTTAAGGTCAAATCAATAATGCAATGATCTTTGTGAATACGACAAGTGTCGATATATGTCGGTTAATCCATATATAATTTATTTACTATCTTTAAGAGCAAATTAAATACAAAGGTGTCATCTTATTTGATAAAGTTTTGTATAATTATAAGAAAAACATATACGTTCACAACAATCTCGATAAGAAGCGGGAACACCTAAAAACTCCTATAACGTATCTATATTAACAATTAAATCATACAACTAAACAGGAAGTTTCTTTCAGCTTATTTGCATATCTCATAGTATACTTAATATGTTAGTGAACAATTGAGTTGGCGTAGTTTTTCAGTGGCAACACTTTATAAAGAAATTTAGAGGTTGTAGGTTCGATCTACGGAAGCGTCTTGGTGCCAATTTAACATGTTCTATAAAAAAAGATAAGCCCTACATAGGAATATATAACTCCTACGTAGGGCTCTATAACTCCTACGTAGAAGATAAAAAAGCCTAATTAGGAGTTTATAACTCCTACGTAGGACTTTGTAAGGAGTTAAAAAGTCCTACGTAGGAGTTTTAAAGTCCTACGTAGGAGTAAAAAAGACCTACGTAGGAGTTTAAAAGTCTTACGTAGAAGTTATAAACTCCTTATTATGCTTTTTCATCTCCTACGTAGAAGTTACAAATTCCTACGTAGGACTTACAATGTCCTACGTAGGAATAATAAAGTCCTACGTAGGAGAAATAAAGTCGTACGTAGGAGTTAAAAAGTCCTAAGTAGGAGTTAAAAAGTCCTACGTAGGAGTTTAAAAGTCCTACGTAGGAGTTAAAATGTCCTACGTAGGAGTTTAAAAGTCTGAAATAGGAGTTATAAACTCCTAATTAGGCTTTTTTAACTCCTACGTAGGAATAACAAAGTCCTACTTAGGAGTTATAAACTCCTAATTAGGCTTTTTTATCTTCTACGTAGGAGTTACAAAGTCCTACGTAGGACGTAGGAGTAATAAACTCCTAATTAGGCTTTTCTATCTCCTACGTAGGAGTTTAATTTTTATAGAGCATGTTAAATTGGCACCAGGACGCTTCCGTATCGATCCCCTCTCACTGTGGCTAAAATTTCCTACGAGGCAAAAAATGGTTTGAATCTGGTAACATCTCCTAAAAACAATGAGTCGGTATGTGGGCATGTTATTATGCAATAGTTATATGGTATTATATAATTAATATATTACTTACGAGGGAGATACACTTATTTGTTTGCCCTTATTTATGAGCCTAAGCTCTATATAATAACAAAATAATCAAGTGATGAGTGTGATATGCTTATATGTGTGTTTTAGTACTTATTTAATCGAATTAAGGTGTGAAATTAAAGTGAGTATTTTTATAATAATATAACATAAATAAAGTTTTAATATTCATAAAACTATTTAAATTGACGATATATGGATATTTCACAGAGGGACGAAAATTACCATTGTTTGTATTTTAAAAAAAATCATTCAAACGTTATAGAGTAATTGACCATATTTGGTATATGATTAGTACCGTAACTGACTTTGACGATGTCAAGTGATTAGGGCTTACCTATAAGGGAGATATTAAATCATATATATTTATTTTTAGGATGAATTTGAGAAAGTTAAGTTTAGGTTTTGGCCTGGTTCAAGTCCCATTCCCCCGATATATATCCGTATAATACATGGTTGTGAAAGTATGAGTGACTGCTACAATAGTATACCTCGTATACGTAAATTTAAAGGCCAAGTTAACATCTGTATTATACAAGTTTGTGTAAGTTTTGATGTTTGCTAAAGAATGAGACCACTTACAGGTATGTGTATGGTTCATAGAGGTCTAGGAAAGTCATACAAGGTGAGTGGTCGAGGTTCGAACTTATATTGTATCACAATTGTTGTGATATTTAGTAGATCTGTGACCTTGTTCGAACCTCACAGGCTAAGTATGCACCTGTATCATATATGGTTGTGTAGGTAGGAATGTTAATGCTAATGTATGAAACCACGTATATGTGTGGTTCGTAGGCCCTTGTAGTCTCAGGGAAAGTATACCATGTGATTTTTTTTTTAATTATTTAAGATTTACTTAAAAATAAAATATTTAATGGGGTTGTTTGCCGGCTGAGAGCAAATATGTAATGTTGATAAATGATCAACATTATGTATAACATGTTATACTAATTCCCTTCACCCGTTGCCCAGTCCACGGCTCGCGGCGCCCTAACCCCGTGTGGACCTTTACCTTTCATTTGGCTTGATAGCCTGTCCGTCTGTCTGCATTCGTCTATACTTAACCTTGACCTTAAGTTAATGAAAAAGTATACCTTTCCTTCTATTGTTGTTGAGGCTGCTGTTATGGTTGCCTTTTTACATTTATTTATGGAAATTATTGGTTAATTCTCAACTATCAATAAAAAGTAATTGTCTAAAGTTTTAATTATTTTTATAATAAAAACGATTAAATATTTACCTTAAAGACTTCTTAGATGTATTGACAATATTCCTCACAATGCCCAGTAGTTGTTTGTCAGTGTATTCTGGAAACTTATCCCTCTCATGTCCCTGACAACATGGACTGGCACCGACTTGCTTTCCTCGTAAACATACTGGATAACACCTCCAGGAAGGTGTCCATGATCTGTTCTTTCACAGATAGTGGTACCGGAACGCGATCATTTCTCTGTTTTCTTTGACCTGTAACTAATCTAAATGAAAAAAATATTGGCACTGCCGGTATCCGACGGCGGAATAATGTCGCTGTCGCCTACAGTGATAGTTGAATTCTACCTGTCACGGGCTCCATTGCATCCATGTACTCGTATGCCCTCTGTGACAAAATGTCATCATCATGGTCTATGCCAATCGTGAAAATATTGCATCTGACATTCAGCCAGTGAAATGTATTTCGATATTACATGTAAGCAAACAAATAATCTCTCTAATTTACATTGAATTGAAAAAATGTTCTTATTTTGTCTCGTGCTAAGCGCTCATGAAAATATAACAGTTCCCTCGCTTCTCAGTGTAATATAGAGCACATTCACTAAAAGACAAATAGTACCCTACACACATATACATTATAATTGATTATAAGGTCCAACGATTTCAGCAAATAGCTGGCTTAACATTGTATTGGTTTTTCTTTGTTCTTCCAGAATTTGTTGTAAAACTTGTGTCTGGTCTTCTAGTATCTTCATGATTTTTTCACCATCATCATCAGCATCTGAAAAATACAAAAAAGTAGACTTTACAGTTAAAAAAGTATTTTAAGCCAGAAAAAGAAACAAAGACTGGGTTGTTGTTTCTTACTAGAATATCTAGCTCTCCAGTAACTGATTAGCGGTAAATCGGCAGAGACTTGTTTCAACCAGTCTCGAGCCAGATGTTCTTGTCTGTACCGGATACACATATAAGATTTTTTCACTGTTTCCATTTTTGTCAATGTATTTTTCAAAATATAAATGCCATTAGTGTGTTCAGTCTATTACAAAGTTATGGCAATTTAGGCTAACTAAAATGGCCCATACATGACCTTGCAAATTCTTTTAAAGTCAATGATAAACTTTAACAACTTAACATGTCAGTTTTGTCATAAATGTGGAATTTTGGGTGGAAGTATAATCATATCATTTCAAACTATGATAAACAAGATTAACAAGGAAAGGTGGCGTTCAATGAACGCAACCCCCATACGACCCCGCAATAAGAACCAGTGGCAAAGAGCCCAGGCAAATATTTAAAAGTTTAAGCAATTTGAGTGATCTAGGTCATATTTAAATCAGGTTTAAGTTTAAATAATTCATAAAGTGTTTCACGGAATGAATCATAAATTTATGATAAAACTGTAAAAAATCATAAAAATTATTTAACCAGACGTAACAGCCTACAGTATAAAGTATATATATTCTTATTAATAGTAAAAAATGATACTAATATAGACTTTATTGTAGTTCATTGGTGTTTTAAGAACTTAATAGCGAGCTCAAAGCGAGCTTAATTGTTACGCGAGTACCTGATAAAAGTGATGGTTTTAAAAACTTTTGTCGGAAGTACAGAATTGACAAATCGCAACTTTTCGAATTACAAGATGAGGACAAAAGCCGAGGAATTCTGATTGAAAACGGACGCGTAGACTGGTTTCCTGCGCACTTCTATGAAATCATAATGGACAGGGAACCATAATAAACGGGAGCAGTGTATACGACGTAAAATACCGAATGGCAGTTTTAAAACGAAAAATGTAAAATGAAAATTAACGATTATTTTATGGATTTAACTCGATACAGGATTGGAGTAGTACATCTAGACGCTTGCAGAAATCATGATCACAAAATAGTCAAATATCTTCTTTTTTTCGCCGATGTTTATATTTTTCATTCATTATCATTCCTAAATCGGTGTGAAAAGATGAATAAGACCTATAAAAGTTCATTCCGTTGGGTAAAAAGGCAAGATTTTAGCATTTTATCATTTAAGCGCCGTGTCCGGTACATACCGGAATACGGTATTTAGTGTGGTGCTCAAATCCTTTTTTTTAGTCTCACTCTTATTTTATACCATTTCATGGTAAAAGTAAATCGAGCTCGCTTGCCTTGCCTTTTTCATGTTATAGAATTGGTAAAAAAGAGCAAGATTATTCTAACAAAAATTATAAGATTTCACAATTAAATTCTACCTACTGTTTTTCCTTTTCTTTTTATTTTGACTGTATTTTGTCGCATTATTAAAATTGGCAAATGTTCCCTGTGATGTTCCCTCGGATGTTTGGTCAATAATGATTGAACTTTCGTCTGTGGCAGCTGAAAAATAGTTCAATCTCTTTTAATACTTAATGTTTTCTTGTATCAATGCTTCATACAACATATATTTTATTCAATATAAAATTATATACATACAATTTATTCATTCGAATACTGTATGGTGTAAAGTGTTATAAATTACAGTTAGCCGAATGTTATGACATATCTA